GCAGCACCAACTCGAGAAAAGCGAATCACACCATGTGACTCGAGTCGCAGTCAGACTGTGACGAACACTGTGACACCAGCAATATGTTACAACTGATCTACCGATCTAGACGCTCCCCGACTTCGCGGCGAAACGGAGAGGATGAGGTCGCGAGGGAGGAGGGCGACGACGAGGACGACTACGATTAGAACAGCGACAACGACGACGACGGCGGGAAGTGCGCAAGTGGATCAGCAGCAGCAGCAGGAGGATCAGGATGAGGAAGGAGGGGGCAGAAAGAGTAGGAGGAGATATGCAGTTGAGGAGGAGGAGGTGGATAGGAGAGAAGGAGGGAACAGTCTGGGAGGAGGAGATTACAGGGAGGATGAGGGAGGTTGAGGGGGGGGGGGGAGGAGGAGAGAGAGAGAGAGAGAGAGAGAGAGAGAGAGCGACAGAAAGACGAGTAGGAATAGCAGAGGAAAAGTAGACGCAGCAGTGACGAGAGGCGAGGAAGATGATACTGAGGATAAGCAGGGGGGAGATCGAGGGAGCGGGAGGAGAAGGGAGCAAAGGGAGCAGCGAGAAGGATGAGAAGGGTTGGGTGGGGAGAGGAGGGAGCAGACTGAAAGGGCGCAGGAGGAGCAGGAGAAGCAGGAGAAGGAGGAGAAGGAGAAGGAGGAATTGGAGGAGGAGGAGGAGGAGGAATTGGAGGAGGAGGAGGAGAAGGAGGAGGAGGAGGACATGGAGCAGGCGGATATGGAGAAGGAGAAACAGGAATTGAACGATAATTGGGGATGAGGAAAAGGGACCCGACCATCCGATCCGATCGTCTTCGGCTTCTGGGTTACACGCGATCCACCAACATTCAAGTTTGAAGCCTCTGGGCGTGATCCGACGGTGCCCCAGGTGGCTTGACCTTCCAGAGGACCCGAGCGGAAGCCGGGGAGCCAGGAGACGGCGCTTGCCCCACCCCATTCTTTCCTTTGTTCACGCTCCATATTTTCCCGTAGCTCTCTCATCCTCCTCCTCCTCCTTCCCCTCGTCCTCCCCGGTAGAGAAGGAGGCTGATGAGGATGTGCACGAGACATAAGCAGGCAGTGAAGGAGGATGAGGAGCAGGAGGACGAGGAGGAGGAGGAGGAGGTAGACGACATCGTCGAGGTCCAACGCATAGGTACGTATGTGCGGGGCTTCAGCTCCACCCAGTGGTGACTGAAACGAAACGGAGTGGAGGTTGAGGAGGAGGATGCATTGAAGTAAAGGAACGAGGGGGGACGGACGCGGAGGATGGAGGAGAGTAGAGTAAGGAGGAGGAGGAGGAGGAGGAGGAGGAGAAGGAGGAGGGGCAGGAGGAGGACGAGCAGCAGTCCGTGGCCATTTGGCCTCAAGACTCAACGGGGAACGCCAACGTAAACATAGCTGGCACTGATTAGCTTTGGCTTCGCCCGTCGCGAGGCCCGAGGTCTAGGTGCACAGGGCTCCTGACAAGGGCAGTGCCGCAGTTTACACCCACACGTCCGCGCTTCTTTGTGGGTGCGCGTCTACATGCGAGAGATGCACGGCAGTAGTGTGGAGCAGGTCCCCGCTCCAGCGCGGGCTAGGCCAGCTCGACCGGCAGGTGAAGAGGCGCGTGGACTCGCGGCCGCGTGCGATGTTGCCTTGACCTTCGAATCACAGGACGTACTGTGTCATTCGCCCACTGATACGCAACGCAGCTCTATGGTGGGATTGCAGCAGACGGTCACCCAGTCGAACGACAATCTCTCACGCCAGATGGATACCATAATGTCCGTGGTTGTGAACGCCCAACAATGCATGACGACAGCTTATCTGCAGCAGAGCGCTCCATCGCCGCCTTGCAGTGGGAGTTTGACATCGTCAAGAAAAGGCCCCCGCCGACCGAGCAGCTCATTCCAGGCAGTTCCTTCCACGGAGACATAGACGGTGGTATCATCATCGTACGCGCGCAGGCTTTCATTGCGGCGGCAGTTGTTGCAGACGAGCTTCGATCGTGGCTGGGGGATTCCAACCTTACGGAACATGATTAGCTGGCGGAAGGGGACTTTTCAAGGAACAAGTACATTGTCAGACTCACAGGTGCCAAGGAATCGGTAGCACGTCGTGTTTCTCAGGCTCTCCGCAATCTTCGTACGCGACAAGCTGATGGTGGCGCTGGCAGCGTCTGGCGCAAGTTCACCACTACACCGACGGCGGGAGAGCTGACCGAGCTTTTCGTGGACCCCGGCAAGAGCGATTCCATTGTCAAGCACGCGACGGCATGCAAGGCCATCGGGCGCGGCCTGAAGGAGAAGGTCCAGGGTCGCAAGTTCGTCGTGGACAAGTACAAAGGCGAGGTCTCTGCCATCTGGCGCCCAGTCATCAAGACCACGCCCGTTGCGACCGACGTGGGGCCCGTGGTGGAGCACGCCAACAGCAACCTCGCCGCCGAGAACCTCCAGGCTTCTGAGTTGACACAGGCAGTTTCCGCCGCGCTCAGGGTCGCAGCGTCTCAGCTCGAATATTATGATGCCCCCGGCAGCTAGTGTGCCCTGTGGCACCGCTCATCCTCTGCCCCCTCCCCCTCGTGCTCTACATCCAGGATCGTGACCTGGGGTGCTCGAGCCCCCCCTATGTTTTGAGCCAGCAGTGAGGGAACAGAGATTTCGGTTCTTGCGCAAGCTGCTCCAGCGAAGCAGCACCGCTGCGTTGCAAGAAGTTCGCGGCGACAAGCCTAAACGCAGCGACCCCCCCCCAGTTTCCCCAACCTCCCGTTTAAAACCTTCTATGCATGTCATCCCGATCCCTTCGCTTGCTGCGCGGTCGCTTCCTACCCCAACTTCTGTTCATCTGCCGAGAGACGCGCGCGCTTCGGGCACGAGCAACCCATCGTCTCATCCACCTCTCTCGTCGACGGGCGAGCGCTTCCCGCGAAGTTCAGCGCGATGACTGGTCGTTGCTGGGTCGAACGCTGCGACGCCCACAGTTTTGATTCGAACAGAGAGAGAGAGAGAGAGCAAGCAGGCACTTCTCCACTCTATCCAATAATCTCTTGCCCTTGCCCAGCGAGACCCTTCAATCGCCTTGTTTTTTTTCCTGCGCCGCCGCCTTCTACCCCGCCCCGCTGAACCCCGACCCGCCCATGCTGAATGGGTCCGTCGTGCTCGGCCCGCTGCCCCCCCCCATGAATGGCGTTCAGCTCAGCGCGCGGTTGGGTTCAAGGTGCCCACTCCCGCTCACGTTTGCGCCTCTGCTGGACATCGGGCGCCCAATCCTCCCGCAATGTTCTTCGGCGGCTAAAGTTGCGTATCAGCCCGAATGCTTGCCTGCTGAACTGAACTCAGATCACGCAGCTGCCGTCGCGGCCCCCCGCCGTCGACCCGGGCGGCCAGCTGGCCAGAGACCAGTCCCGCGGGAAGCGTTTCAATCAGAAGAGTTTGTTCGAGATATGTGCGCATCGCTCTGGAGGCGGCCGAAAGCGCCCACCTACCCCCTCCACGTCGGCGAACTGCAAGATGGTTATGTTGGAGTCTGCTCGGCTCGCGCGAACTGCGGTTTTCGCGGGGCGCCCCGGATCCGCGCTGGCGCGATGCCTGGTGGACGATAGAAAGGCTCGGGCAGTCTTTGGGCGGCAGTGGCAATTTGAGTTGAAGCTCAACCGATCTCGCCCCCTGTGCCGCGAACACCCCCTCCCCGACCAGAATGCGAGGACAAGCGCCCTCAAGCCCCCCGCCTTCGCCGCGCCGCCCAGCGCCGCGCGCGGCGGGGGGTCGCGCAGATAACCGAGCGGGTTGTCCCGGCAAGCGCGCGGCAGCTTACCGATCGCGCCAAGAGTAGCCGCGGTCGGGAACGACGGCGACGGGCCCAGCAGATGGCTCGATTGCGGTCGCCCTTCGATCGCCGCGCCCCTCTCGCAGGCGCCCGCGCAGACCGAGGCGCCGCCCCCTCTCCTCCCTCTCCTCCTCCTCCTCCTCCTCCTCCTCCTCCTCCTCCTCCTCCTCCTCCTCCTCCTCCTCCTCCTCCTCCTCCTCCTCATCTTCCATTATTAGCCAAGTGATGGCTCCTCCTCCTCCTCCTCCTCCTCCTCCTCATCATCATCATCATCATCATCATCATCCTCCATCCCTCCTCCTCCTCCTCCTCCTCCTCCTCCTCCTCCTCCTCCTCCTCCTCCTCCTCCTCCTCCTCCTCCTCCTCCTCCTCCTCCTCCTCCTCCTCCTCTCCTCTCTCCATTCTTAGCCAAGTGATGGTCCTCCTCCTCCTCCTCCTCCTCCTCCTCCTCCTCCTCATCCCCCTCCTCCTCCTCCTCCTCCTCCTCCTCCTCCTCCTCCTTCGCCTCCTCCTCATCCTCATCCTCCATTATTCGCCAAGTGATGGTCCGCCTCCTCCTCCTCATCCTCCTCCTCATCATCCTCATCATCATCATCATCAGCATCATCATCATCATCATCATCATCATCATCATCATCATCATCATCATCATCATCATCATCATCAGCAGCAGCATCATCATCATCATCCCCCCTCCTCATTCCTCCCGTCGCTTCCTCTAACGTTGGCACATTCCTCACACGCTTCATGGCCCCATAGGGAGCTTCACCGAAGGCCCTAGTGGCGTGGTTCGCATGCCCCCTCCACGTTGGCACACCTCTCACACGTTTCGTGGTCCCATAGAGAGTTCCACAGAAGGCCTCAGCGACATGGTTCGCATGCCACCCTCTTTCCACTTTGGCACACACCCCTCACACGTTTCGTGGCCCCATAGGGGGCTCCACCGAAGGCCCTGGTGGCATGGTTCGCATGCCGCCCCCCTCCACTTTAGCACACTCCTCACACGTTTCGTAGCCCCATACGGCGCTCCACCGAAGGCCCCAGTGGCATGGTTCGCATGACGCATCCCTTCCACTTTGGCACACCTCTCACACGTTTCGTGGCCCCTTACGGAGCTCCACCGAAGGCCTCATTGGCATGGTTCGCATGCCGCATCCCTTCCACGTTGGCACACCTCTCACACGCGTCGTGACC